GGAATTAAAACACAGACCTGTCCCATCTTCAGATCTCCGAGAGGGTGTAGGTCACTCTGGACCGGAAGGGCTGTTTCCTGTTCCGGGGCCCGGAGCGGGCCGGCCCCTGAGCCAGCTCCCTGACTTTCAGGAGGGGGAGCTGGTTCTGCCCGGGCACGGTGCCGGGGCCATTTCTGGGAACACTTTCCTTCCGGGTCCTCCCTTAGCGCTTCCTTTAATTATTAACACACCTGCAAACCTACAAGTCAGAGAAATGAAGCAGTAATTCGTCACCGTCTCCGACCCAAAAAGAATGATCACAGCACGGAGGGCGGCAAACTGGCAGAATTCTGGGTCACGCTCAGCTCCAATTGCGTTCCACAGTTCAGCTGGCGGGGACAGGGCTCCAGGCTCCTGGAGGGCAGGCTACTGCCACCTTGAACTTGCCGCCAGATTGCAGAAATAACTGCTGCCGCCTGCGGAGGGCCTAAGGCAGGGTGGGGTCCCTATGGATGTTTCTGGAATTCCCCCCGATTCTTATGCTGTGTGAGGAACTTAGTAACTTGCCCAAGGTCATCAGCGGCCTATATAGTTTTCCTTCTTTCCATTGATGTCCTGTGTGGTGGTGCCGCCCGACCACATTGAGGCTCAGGAGGCTGTGGTCAGCCTTGACCTTGGCAAGTTACAGAGCCCACATCTCAGTCCCCACAAACCTAAAGGCTCCTGATAAGAGCAGCACCTGCTGCACAGGCAACATACTTCCAGTATTGTGTGTGTGTGAGCATGTGTGAGCGTGTGTGAGCATGTGTGTGAGCGTGTGTGTGAGCATGCATGTGTGAGCGTGTGCATGTGAGCGTGTGAGCATGTGAGCGTGTGTGTGTGTGAGCGTGTGTGAGCATGTGAGCGTGAGCATGTGAGCGTGCATGTGTGAGCGTGTGTGAGCATGTGTCTGAGCATGCATGTGTGAGCGTGTGAGCATGTGTGAGTGTGCATGTGTGAGCATGTGAGCGTGCATGTGTGTGTGTAAGTGCCCGAGTGTCTGAGAAGACCCCGCTGGAACCATCGGGAGGCATGTGGTGATGACAGGCTGCCTGCCTCCCTCCTGACCCTCCCCCACCCCCAGCTGCTGCTTCCAGCACCGCAGGTGCCACGAGGAGGCTGCTGAGATGGACTGTATCCAAGACTCCACCAGGGTGAGCACAGATGTCAACTGCGCCAGCAAGAAGATCACGTGTGGTGAGCATCCCAGGTGCCCGGGGGCTGGCGGGGAGGGGACCGTGGAGAGGCCCCAGTCTGGACCAGGCCACGGGCTCATGGCCTCTCCCTTGCACAGCAGAGGTGCAGTGCATGCTTTCTGAGTTGACACAAGTTACTCAGCAGGTTATTGGATTTGCAATTTTCACGTGTTGCAACCCAGGGACCTTGGGAGGGGCAGGCTGCTGCCCGAGCATCAGTGGGGCGATGACTGCCTCCTCTGAACGGCAAAGTGGGGGGGGGGGGACTCTGCCTCGGAGAGTTATGGGGATGAACGCTCCCAGAGCACGAGCGTGTGTGTGAGCATGTGAGCATGTGTGTGAGCGTGTGTGTGAGCGTGTGAGTGAGCATATGTGTGAGCATGTAAGCGTGCATGTGTGTGAGCATGTGTGAGCGTGTGTGTGAGCATGCATATGTGAGCATGCATGTGTGTGTGTGAGCGTGTGTGTGTGTGTGTGTGTGTGTGTGTGTGTGTGTGAGTGAGTGCCCGAGTGTCTGAGAAGACCCCGCTGGAACCATCGGGAGGCATGTGGTGATGACAGGCTGCCTGCCTCCCTCCTGACCCTCCCCCACCCCCAGCTGCTGCTTCCAGCACCGCAGGTGCCACGAGGAGGCTGCTGAGATGGACTGTATCCAAGACTCCACCAGGGTGAGCACAGATGTCAACTGCGCCAGCAAGAAGATCACGTGTGGTGAGCATCCCAGGTACCCGGGGGCTGGCGGGGAGGGGACCGTGGAGAGGCCCCAGTCTGGACCAGGCCACGGGCTCATGGCCTCTCCCTTGCACAGCAGAGGTGCAGTGCGTGCTTTCTGAGTTGACACAAGTTACTCAACAGGTTATTGGATTTGCAATTTTCACGTGTTGCAACCCAGGGACCTTGGGAGGGGCAGGCTGCTGCCCGAGCATCAGTGGGGCGATGATTGCCTCCTCTGAACGGCAAAGTGGGGGGGGGGAGAGACTCTGCCTCCGAGAGTTATGGGAATGAACGCTCCCAGAGCAGTTAGCTGGTGCCCGGTGGACGATAAGGACGCAGTGGTGGGCGTGGAGGGAGGGACTGCTGGGTGGAGAGGCCGTGGTGGGTGCTGTAAGCACCAGCTGCCCACCCTGCTTGCTGGGGCACCCGGGCACTTTATTTCAGTCTCTGGGCGGCAGCAGCAGCGCAGGCAAAGGCACGGGGAAGGGGGGGCAGAGGAGCAGGCGCGTTGGTGGTGCCTCTCGGGGCCGCCCTTTCCGATGCCTCCCAAGTGCCACACGCTTCGCTCACAGCAACCCCATCTTCTAAAGAACCTGGCACACGGGGGCCGTCACCCCAGCTCTCAGACCGGGAGAGGGGAGCGCGGAGAAGGGGAATAACTTGTGCAAAGTCCCATCAGTGCAAAGTGGCAGAGCCAGGGTTTGAGTCCAGTGGGGCCGGCTCCACAGTCCCGGTGATGGTGTGGACGAGCTGGAGTAGGAGCTTCCTGGATGTGAGAGGCACAGTGAACACTGAAAGCACTCACTCATTCATTCACTCACTCATTCACTCACTCATTCACTCACTCATTCACTCATCATTCACTCACTCATTCATTCATTCAACAGATAGGAGCTAAGCACCTACCTCAGTCCAAGACAAGTGTCTAGGCATTGGGGACACCCTGAAGGATGTGAGAGGCACAGTGAACACTGAAAGCATTCATTCACTCACTCACTCACTCACTCACTCACTCATTCATTCATTCACTCATTCACTCACCATTCACTCATTCAACAGATAGGAGTTAAGCACCTACCCGAGTCCAAGACAAGTGTCTAGGCATTGGGGACACCCTGACATTCTGGAATTTTATCATGGTTGTCAGACTCAGCAAATATCAAAGACAAATGATACCGTCTATTAGACAGTGATGAGAGATGTCGGGGATACGGAGTCAGGGAAAGGCACGGGAGGCGGGGTGGGGGCCCCTGTTGAAGTAGGAAGGTCAAGAGAAGGTGACAGTTGAGCAGAGACGGGCGCGGCGCATCGGGAGAAGAGCCGTGTGGACGGGTGAACGGCCCCTGGACCCTGAGGCTCGGGGGGCCTGGTGCCTGAGGAACGGAAGCCAGTGAGTCAGGACCGGGGTGAGGGCGGAGAGGAGGTCTGAGAGGGAGCGGGATCCGTGGCTTTGACTTTGAGGTGGGAGGTTCGGAACACAAGCACAGACGTGGTGTGATGGTGTGACCTGAGCTTTCAGAGAATTGTCCCGCCTCCTGGGAGAACAGACGCACAGCTGGGCAGAGGCAGGGAGGGGAGTCAGCAGGCCACCCATGTAACCCAGGGGAGAGGCGAGGGGTGGCCCGGGAGAGCGAGGCGGAGATGGGGAGACGTGGCCGACTCTAAAGAGTTTCGTTGAAAGCAGAGCCCGTAGAGGGCCCGACGGGTGGGGGGTGAGTGAAGGAGGGCGCATGGCCCAGACGGGACCCTCACCGAGGAGGGGGGGCACTTGCAGGGGGCGTGGGGTTTGGGCGGGCAGGTCGGGAGCTCAGCCTCGGCGTCTGCGTTGCCTCTTGGGATTCCAAGTGGCTCTGCCCTTGGTCTGCGCAGAGTCCAGGGACCCTTGCGAGCACCTGCTGTGCACCTGCGACAAGGCGGCCATCGAGTGCCTGGCCCAGGCCACCATCAACTCCTCCCTGAACCTGCTGGACCCTGCCTTCTGCCTGGCGCCACCTGCGGGTAGGAAGCACCTGGCCCCTGGTCCGTGCTGGGCTGGTGGTGGGGGCAGGGGCTGGTGTGGGTGCCCGTCTTCAGGTGCCAAGTCTAGCACCTCCTCACATTCCACAGAGACAGCCCGCAGGCAGGAGCTGACGGCCCTCCTGCCCAGAGGTCAGGCCTCCACGGGAGGCAGCTGCTCCTCGGACTTGAGGGGTCAGATATGTTCACCAACGTTCCCACGCTCTCCCAGCCCCACCACCAGGGGTGCCTGGGGGTGGGAAGTTCAAGGTGCACCTCCAGAGTGTCCCCCGTTTCCTGAGCTGGGGTCTCTCTCAGAAATAGTCCTGCAGGGCTTGGTTAAGAGGGAGCTGGTGTGGGTGTGGGTGGTGGATTTCTGGGTGCACACGTGTGATATGGTGTGTGCATGTGTGTGGGGTGTGAGTTGCATCTCCAGGTCTCCCGAGCCCAGCGGTCTTTGTCCTCTGCACCTGCCTCCCCTTAGAACAGAGGTTTTCTCGAATCAGGACACCACACTCCACAGCCAGTCCTTCGGCTCTGCAGCCCTTTCACTGCCACAGCCTGTGCTCCAGTGTCACCCTCTCCAGAACCCAGAGCCTCTGGAGTCCCTCTGAGCTGGGGCCTGGTTGGCACCTGCATTCTGGGAGGTGGAGGACCCTCAGGCGGAGGAGCAGCCCTTGTCCGGCAGCACCCGGCACAGCCACTCCCTGGGCCCCGCAGTCCCCACCCAGCCTGTTCTGGGCCGAGACCCTTGGGAGGTGGTGTGGACACTGTGTCCGTCACTCATGGCTGCTGGGGCTCTTTTTCAGTGGAACCTGTGGAGCCCACAGACGCCAGCCTGGTGGCCCTCTCAGGAGAAGGTGAGTCAGGGACAGGCGTGCGGCCCCAATGCCCACATTCCCATTGTAGTATTGGACTAGCTGCAATGACCTCCCCTCAGATGCAGGTGGGACAGCTGGTGAGGAAGTGTGGTCCCCATCATGCGATGAGGCGATGTGTTGGAGTCGGGCAGATGTGGGGTCGAATCCTGCCTCCCCCGCTTTCAGCTGTGCGACTTTGGGAGCGTGGTGCAACCTCTGCCCCCTTGCACAAAGCAGGGCTCGGCAAACTTTCGGTGAAGAGCCAGACAGTAAATGTTTCAATACAGGATCTCTGCTACAGCGACTCGGCTCTGCCACTGTAGTAGGAAAGCAGCCATAGACAATCCATCACTGCATGGCTGTGGCTGTGTGCCAATAAAACTTTATTTACAAAAACAGGTCAAGGGCCAGCCCCTAGTTTGCCAACCCCTGGAAAGGGATGACTATACCTGACTTCAGGGTGGCAGAGGATTACATGACTGAGAGCGTGGGAAGATTCTGGGCTGGCATCTTCTTCCAGAAATTCCAGTGGAACTTTAAAAATCAGCACATACCATCAAGGCACATGCAGGACACTAGACAGCTTGCTCGGAATGTATAACCCCCTTAATGCTCACACACTGTTAGGAAGTAACCGCTGTAACCTTCATGTTGAGCTGGTACATTGAGCTGGAGAAGGAAGTTGTCCAGGACACAGAGCTGAGTGGTAGGGCTGGGATTCGGGGCCTCCGGTGGGTCTTCCCTTACCTCAGGAAGCAACTCCCTCTTAGGCTGCCTTCCCACAAGGACTTGGTCTATCAGGGCCAATGCTGGCTCTTTCTTCAATTTGCTGGTTTCTCTGAACACAGGACTGACTCCAATCTGGCCCCTCACCCACTGAATGGGAACAGAATTGAGCACCAATGAGTGGACAACTTGCTTCCTGATCAGATGGCTGTGGGCCTTCTCTCCTTATGGCTCAGCTCCCAAACCCGTTTTGTTTGCAGGTGATCCTGGCCTGGCCAAGGTGCTGAGCTGGACTGGTAACTGATCACTGACTGATAATCGGTTGATTTCTCTTCACAGTGTCTGCTGATACCAGAGCTGACCAGCTGACCACGCCCCCCAGGACGAGTCAGCTGACCACTCGATCCAGGACAAGTAAGTAGAGGGGCCTTCAGAGGACAGCATTGAATCCTGGAGAAATGCCACCTAAATAAATACTCGTGTTCAGAGCCCAGAGGAAATTACTATAACCCTTTGCAGACAATACAGGAAACGGAGGCTCTGGGGGTTAAAGTTCCAAGTCATCCAGCAAGTGACTTGTTCTGGTCTCTAACCCCCGACGTGAGGCTAAGACTTGTTTTCTTCCCATTACCTGACAGTGACTCGCAGAGAACAGCCCCTTACCTAAAATACTAAGCCAAGAAATACTAAGATGGAGAAAGCTGTCCCAACCCTTTATTTGGCTTGTGATTAATAACCATGGATACTTTATTACTAAGTATAAATCACTGATAATGACTATCTACTCGTTACTGAGAATGGTTAAAGGGCAGAGACATGGTTGAGGACCTCTATGTGGTAGCATGTGTCTACGCCCCTGCATACAACATTCTCTGAGTTATTCTCCCTGGTTCTGGGAGGCCCATTTTCACCCCCATTTTACAGGTAAAGGAAAAGCTCCAAGAGGTGGAGTCGTCTGCCTGGGGTACATGTGGATCCCTTTACTTCTGAATCTGTGCACTTTGCCTTTGAAGGGAACCACCTGCCCCAGCGCAGAACTCCTCAGACTCTTGGCTGGAGCATCTGCGTCCCATCAGTGCACGTCTAAGTCTGACGGTCACATCACACCATCATAATCCTGATCTCGGACAGAGTTTCAGGCAGTTCCTTCCTTTCCAGAGCATTCTGGAAGGACTGATTATCTCTGGTCTTTGTGGTTCAGCCAGCAGTGAAACTGCAGCCTAGCGAAGTGGCTCCCAGGGTCAATGCTAGCAGGTGACCTGGGTTTGCATTCTGCCACTTTCTAGCCCTATGACCTTGAGCAAGTGACCTCACTTTTCTGCAGGTCACCTTTCTCATCACAGAAGGAGGGAGGGCATTGCACTAACTCATGGGGTGGTTAATCTGAGCAAAGCGCTTAGTGCTGTACCTGGTGTATAGTAAGCCTAGCCCATTCAGCTGCTGGAACAAAATGCCAGAGACTGGTGGGAAGGAGGGAGGGCATTGCACTAACTCATGGGGTTGTTATGAAGTTAATCTGAGCAAAGCGCTTAGTGCTGTACCTTGTGTATAGTAAGCCTAGCCCATTCAGCTGCTGGAACAAAATGCCAGAGACTGGTGGCTTATAAACAACAGAAATGTATTTCTCATAGTTCTGGAGGCTGCAAGTCCGAGGTGGAGGCACCAGCAGATCCGGTGTCTGGTGAGGGCTTCTTCTGACACAGACACCAGCCGTCTTCCTGCTGTGCCCTCCCAGGTGGAAGGGAGCAGGAGCTCGCTGGGTCCCTTTATAGGGCTCTCATCCTATTCACGAGGACCCCATCCTCATGACCTGCTGACTCCACATTGGGACCTGGGGGAACGCGATCACTCGGTCTGCAGCGTAGTGCGAGCTTAACTACTGTTAAAGCAACAAACTCATTTCGCAGAGAAACAGGCTCAGCAGCCTTCCTGGGGCCACACAGCAAGCAAAGGGACTCAGTTCTTCTGCCACATTTTTCTCTGTTAAAAAGAGACTCGCCTGCAGTTGAGTTTCCCAGAAAGCCTCTGTGTGAGGGGAGGGGGTGGTGAAGCTGGGGTCTCTTTTTGGCTCAGCTGTTGTCCTGGGAGGTGGCCAGGGGCAGAGCAAAGACCACATGGCCCCCGGGGCCTGGGGGGTGGGAGCTACCTCAGAGCAGGTGGGGCAGCCTGGGGTTGACACTTACCTGTCTCTCTCTTTTGGGAGCAGAACCACTCCAAGACCAGGAAGGCACCGAAGCTGTGAGGACCACAACCCCTCCAGGTAAGCACGCTCAGCTGCTCCCGCCTTTGGCTAGTTGCTGCCCCTCTACACTCATTAGATCACGTGTGTCCCAAAGAGCCCGGGAGAAAAGACCCCAAACTCAACGTGGAAGAGGTCAGGGAGCCAGTTTACTGGTAGAGCCCCCAGGAGTAGACAAATGAAACTAAGAGGCTGATCCATTCATAGAAAGAAATGGAAACTTACCTGCTAAGGAGATGCCTTGCAAAAAACAGAGAAAGCTCTATCTCGTTTTCCATTTACATCAGCTGCAACCTCACATTATAAAGGGAGCATTTTTAACATCTGAAGGTACTTTCTTCCAGTCTCCCCAAGTGTATCCATGACGATGCCCAGGCCTCACCCAGTGCCGGGCACTGAGCTGGGCAGCAGACGGTGGGGCCCAGCCACTGGTGCTCCTTGGTCTGGACCGGACTGGGCTGGAGGCATGGCCTGTGGGATGGAGACCCGGCTGCCTCCAGCTGAGAGGGCAGGTGGGGCTGACGGACCCTGAGAGACAGGGGACCCAGACGGTGCCAGGGAGCCCGTGTGAGGGAGCAGGGCCTTGCTGGCCGCGGTGCAGACTCACACTTAATTCTGAGTATGGCCAGAAGCTGTTCCCGTGTTCTAAGGGTCGGAACAGTGTTGCTTGCCTACATGATTGTGGCCCATGCGTTGGGCTAATTTCCCCACCATTCTTGTCCCTTCACTTGTTGACGCTGTGATGGGACTTCACTTGGCCAGCGCATGAGTGTGGACACGACACAAAGGTAGGCCCGAGGGTGACGGTTCTCACCCACCAGATGTCATCCAGAGGGTCTAGCCAGGCCCATCAGTTTCAAGGTTATCATAGGAAACTGGGGACTCACGCAGCATTCCGGATCCCCGAGACGCAGCTCTGACGTCTGCAAGCTCAGTCTGGTGGTTCATTCCCAAATATCTGTCTGCCTTTGGCCTTGACCTGGTGCCCGTCTGCAAATCCCTTCTTGGACCCTCTTGGATGTGGACTGTGAAGTTGTGCATTTTCAGGATCCGCAGAAATTGCTGCCACAGCTGGAGGCGTGACCGTGGTCCCCGCCGGCATGAAATCTCTGGGGCTGGCCGTGCCATCTGTCGAAAGCGGTCCTGAGGAGACGACTGGGCCAGGTGAGCAGCAGGCAGACAGGAGCCTGCCCTCCAGGCCTGAGAGCCTCTGGCCAGGCGGTTAACAAGGCCACTGTGTCACACTGACCTTGGCAAGTCGCTGTGACGGGAGGTGCCGCACGTCCCCTGGCAGACGAGCCTGGGAGAGGGGCACTGGCCGGCAGGCACCAGGGCTGGGGGCAGGGCCCGGAAACGGCAGGCCTTGGGCCAGCGCTCACCAGCGCTGTCCATGCCAGTTTCCTGGAAAGAACGAAACACTTGGGTCTCCATAGTCCTCCTCCTGGGCTCTCCTCCCTCAGGTGCAGCCGCAGGCCCTGCACCCGCACGAGCCGCAGGCAGCGGGACCCAGAGGAGGCACTGGCACTGCCTTCCAGTGCGCCATGCAGGGCTGTGCAAGCAGCTGCATGGGGGGGAGAGGGGGGGTGGGCTTTCTTAGTCCTTCCCACCCAGACTATGAAGGTGGGGTTTTGCCCAGTACAGGAGGAGGGGGAGTAGGATGGGTGGAGAGAGAAAAGCAGAAATAGAAAACCAAGGTCTGAAAGACAAGCCCCACAGGTGTGCTGACCTGCGAAGCCAGGCAGCCTCAGGGGACAGCCAGGAGCCCCCGGGATGCTGGGTCCTGCTCAGTAGTAAATGCGGCCCTAAGAGCATCTTCGGCCCT